AAATTTTTTCAATTTTTACAAAGATTTAATGAAATAAAACTGGATATCAATTTCAGTTAAATATTTTTAATAAATTATTTTTACCGTAAATAATATTAAAACAGACAAAAATGATTGATGAATTACATAATTAAAAATAAGTTAATAAAAGACGACTGTAAAATATGAATGGTAAAAAATTTTTTAAATTTAATATTTAATTATTAATAATATTTAAAAATTACAGTGAAAAAATTACATTTGCTTTATTTTTAAAACTATTAGAAAAAAATTCTCAACCTATTGTTATTGTATGCATGATAAATAACTTAATGCACATATGAGTACTAAAATAACTAAAAAAACATAAATATATTTTATATAGGTATATAATAATACATTACAATTACATCCAAAATTTTGAGGGAAAGTATTCGAAAGAAATTAATATACATTTTTTTAAATAAAAAATCATCGTTTTCTATCTATTGGAATAATTTAAAGACTTTTTCATTTAATGTTTTTTATCACCGACATAGTACTGATTCGGTGTGAATGACAGTGTACTGCCAGTACTGGTTTTAATATTTTTTTACCTCCGACATAGTACTGATTCGGTGTATTAGTCAGTACACTGCCAGTACTGAAAGTCAATACCGACAGCCAGTATTGGGTCAGTACCATGCCGGTGTTTAATTACGGCGAGCTACGGATATTTCTACTTGGGATGTTTCTAGGTTATTTCGTTAACATTTTTCGCCTTTATTGACGTAATAATCGCTTTTTCTAAAAAGTTACGCTGTTTTTGATAAAAAAAAAATTTTCAACTTTAAAAATAAATAAACAATTGAAAAAATTTTCTTTTTGAAAAAACAAAATCAGGCGTTATGCAGAATTTTATCATTTTTAAAACAAGATCAAGTACGTCAAAATCGGTTAAAATTTGTAGGCTCTATGATAATTTTTCCACTGCCGTGTTTTACTCCCGATTGTTCGCGTAGAACGGGGTGCGAGCGCGCTTTCAAAAAAAAAATTCATTGTTATTAAACTATTCCAAGTTACCGTTTTATCTTTTTTTTATTTAAATCTTCAATAAATTCTCTTCAACTCTTTGTTTATAAAATTGAATGTACTCATCCAGAATACGTTTATATTTTAATTTGTTTATTAAAAAAAGCTTTTTTTATAACAAATAAAAAGTTTCAAAATTGTAAAAATTTTTTTCAAAAAGTTTGGAATTTCATGAGTAATTTAAAAAAAGAAAAACGAATTTCGTCAATTTTTGTGCATAAAATTTCAATTATTTATAAAAAATAAACAAATGGATATTTTTAATAAAATTTAGGGGATGTTTTTAAATATATTGAAACTATATTTTTGTGAAGTGTCGTTAAAAAATTCCGACCTTTGTCAAATCGGGGGCCACTTCAGGAATTCTTACCCAACTACGTTTAAAAAAAGTCAATGTTCACATTCTACTGAAAAACATTAACTTCCTTCTCATAATGTAGTTTTTGATAAAACCTAACAAATCTTCATGATAAAAATACTCACTTATAGGGCAAACTATGTGCAAATTTCAGCCCGATCTAATAAAAAAAATTCCATTTGTAAATCTTCAGTAAATTTTGCCCAATACATATAACAAAAATAAAAAAGCATTTAAGGTGTAAAATTCCTGTAGCGTACTAAATGAAAAAAAAGTTGATCGAATCGGGCTGTAACTTGGACATAGTTTAGCCCTAGGGGTGAGTACTTTAACCACGAAGTATTGTTAGGTTTTTTCAAAAACTGTAGGAGAGAGAGGGGTTGAATTTTTTTTGAAAAATTTGAATAACGAATTTTTGAAGACTTGTAACTTTTAAACAGAAAGATGACAAACAATTAGACCTATATGTTTTCGAAAGGTTTTTTCCTGCTCTTTCCAATGGTGCAAAAATTTTTTTAAAAAATTCAAAATTTGACCCTTTTTTTGAAAAAAAAATGTTCTTGACTTTTTTTTAAGTTCGGTCTTTTTTTTTATTTTTATTTTTTTTTTTGAAGTTAGAAATGTGTATTTTAACCACACAAAAAAATTGAGGTGTCCTTTTTTGTTAATTTCGAGATATTAATTAAATAATTAATTAATGTTAATAAAAATGAAATTTTTTACAAACAAATAAAGTTATTGCAATTATGAAGCTACCAATTGAAAGCTGACGTAATTCCGTATCCAACGAGCCCTATATGGACTATTTTGGATTAGAGGATTTTCTATAAACAATTGCCATGTTAGCCAATTGCTTATTAACAATCCACTAATCCCAAGTACTTCACAAAGGGCTCGTTGGATGCGAAATTATGTCAACTTTCATTTAGTGACGTCAGAATTACGATAACTTTATTTGTTTATAAAATATATCACTTTATATTAACCTTAATAATAATTAATTATCTGAAAATTGTGAATATTATATAAGTAGATAAGAAAAATTTTAACATGTATGTTTTCAAAGGTTTTTTTGTGCTCTTTTGATTGGTGAAAAAAAATTTTTTTAAATTGAAAATTTTACCCCATTTTTTAAAAATCAAAAAATTTTTTGACTTTTTTTCAAATTGGTCTTTTTTTTATTTTTCAAATTTTTTTTAGAAAGTTTAAAACGTATACTTTTAACACAAAAAATATGTAAATGTCCTGTTTCGTTGTCTTCGAGATATTAATTAATTAATTAATTAATTAATTAATTAATGTTAATAAAAAGTGATATATTTTATAAACAAATAAAGTTATCGTAATTCTGACATTACTAAATGAAAGTTGACATAATTCCGCATTTAACGAACCCTATATGGAGTACTTGGGATTAGTGGATTGTGAATAAACAATTGGTGAATAAACAATTGGTGAATAAACAATTGGAAAGAGCAGGAAAAAACCTTTCAAAAACATATAGGTCAAATTGTTTGTCAGCTTTCTGTTTAAAAGTTACTGGTCTTCAAAAATTCGTTGTTCAAATTTAAAAAAAAAAATTCAACCCCTCTCTCTCCTACAGTTTTTGAAAAAACCTAACAATACTTCGTGGTTAAAGCAGTGATAGAGATAGATTTTTAACATCAATAACTTCGTAATATTTTACAATAAAAGGTTTAATATTAGGTCAATTGAGTCATTTTTAAATATTCTCCAAGTTGTTCATAATATTTTTTTAAAGATATATTTCAAGATTTTTTAATAAATAATGCAAAAAGGTAAGTTTTTTAAAATTTTTAAATTAAACTGTCGGAACAAAGAGGGGCATATAACCCATTTGAATTACATTAGTTATGTGCCCTTCTTTGATCCAGCAGCTCAATTTCAAAATGTTAATAACTCTAGATAAAATAACAGTAGGATATTCGCTAATAGATAAAAGATGCGTCTTGAAAAACTCTACAAAACTAAAGATAAATATATATTGGTGTCAATACATTTTTTAAGTTATGGGCAAAAAACGTTTTTCTCTAATTTTTAAAAATTCAACAACTTTGGATAGAATATCAGTAGAATGTTTGCTAATTTTCTCAAAAGATGCGTCTCAAAAAACTCTACAAAATTAAAGCAAAATATTCATAGGTAACAAAAAAAATTAAAACTTTACGGAAATTCCGTCCGTAACAGTGATAATTTTGGAAAAAATCATGTATTTTTCATACCAAAAACGAAGAAAATTTTATCTAAAAGAATTCAAATTTATACAATTTTACGTATCTTCACATGTAAATTATAGGAAAAATTTAACAAACATGACAGGAAGATGTTTTAATTTAATTTTTTTTTAAACTCATATATATTTTGCTGAAAAAAATTTTGCATAAAATAAAATTAGACAAGTAGTGCTAGTTACACTCGCACTGAAATTTAGGGTTCCGTACACAAAGCGAACTTATTTGATATAAAACCAAATGGTTAACAAATTTTGTAAACAATTATAGAATTTTGTTCCTCTTCGTACCACTTACATTATTTGACATACGCAACTTATATTTTTAAACATTTGTTTTTATACCAAATAAGTTCGCTTCATGCACAGAACCCTCGATTTCAGTACGAGTGTAACTCGCATTTGTCTAATGTTATTATTTTAAAATAATTAAAACCGAATTATAAATTATAAAGGGTATTAAGCAGATTAGGTATAATATTCAGTGTAATCTGTGTTTATTTAATCCTACTCGTATAATTCACTTTTCTCTGTGAATCATTTGACACTTTAAAATTAAAACTTAAATAATGAAAACCAAAATCAGTTTATATCCCAATTCCATTCTATCAGGAAAACATTCTTGAGTTGACGTGGAATCTACGAGTTTGTTAAGGAGTTACATACTTTTTTATATGTCAAAAAATCGATTTTTTTTGTTATTGATATTATAAAAAGTGCACACTCTCAAGAACGTTTTCCCGAAATTTCATCAAAATGGAGCATTAGAACCAAAGTTAAGGCTGTTTTAACCCGCTACTTCTTAAAGAAGAGGATTTTTGAGAACTACCGTTACGGTGACTACGATTTTTCATAAACCGCTAAACCTATCGGGCTGAAATTTTTAGGGATTCTGTATACATACAGCAGCTAGTGCGTGAACGAAGGAATTTTAATTTGAACCATAATTTTTATATTTTCTGGTCAAAAATCAAATTTGAAAACAGTTTCCACAATTACTAATAATTTTATACAAAATTATTTACAAGTACATCGAAATAATGTACTATTCGATAAAAAAAACTTCGTTTAAAAAAAATTTTTTAAAACGGCTAAATTTTTTTTTAAATTCATTTTTACGCGCACAAAGGGATGTAATAACACCTTAAATAACGATTCGTAAAAAATCTGTTTTAGGCATAATCATGTGGATCAACACATGCAGGATTGTATTTATAATAATAATCTCAGTAAGTTTCTTTTGGTTCGCTTCGTCAATAATACAATGCGGAATTGCAGTTTAGAGATTAAATCAAGAAAATTAATTACACAAGGCTTCTGAAATATTAACATATTACTTACGAGTAATGCCAATGGCAAACACAATAAAGCAGATAAATTTTATTTTTTTATTCAGCATGTTGTCACTTAACATCTTTGATTCACACTAAGTACTATAAACATTCTCTTTTTTCTTTATATATTCCCTACCCAGCTCAAGAAGCAGTTTCAATATCCTTGAAATTAATATTTACAGTTAACATATATATATAAAACAGAAGGAAATTGTTAATGAAGTTTTCAATATTTCCATTTGTCAAATTGAATTCAGTACATTATGGAATCATTTTAAAACTTTTTTATTAACAAATAATATGCTTACTTTTCCAGGCGACGTACATTTTGCAAAATATTTATTATCAGTTGAAGATGGCACTTCAAATGACGCTAATAATAATCTGCTTCCTTGGCAGTGGGTAGAAAAAAATTATTTAATTGATACAATATTTAGAGACATTATTAAGTGTCGAAAATACGATGATTTAGCAAAAGTAGCTATATTTTTTACACGAAATGTTAATGTAAATAAATGAAATTATATGTAGAGTAGTACAACTACTTCCCTAACAGCATCCGGATGTTCACACAGAAAATTAAATGGCATTAAAATAAGCTGCAACGCTTCTTATTTTAATCCAATTTTGCTTATTTTAATATCAAAATGGATTAAAATAAGCAAAATTGGATTAAAATAAGAAGCGTTGCAGCTTATTTTAATCCAATTTTGCTTATATTAATATCAAAATGGATTAAAATAAGCAAAATTGGATTAAAATAAGAAGAGTTGCAGCTTATTTTAATGCCTTTTAATTTTCTGTGCAAGATATCCTATGGACGTCCCAGGGATATCCGGTAATTAGATATCCATAGGATGTTGCAGAGATATCTTAGAGATATCCAAATTTCCGGATACGGCTAGGACGTCCACTGGATATCTTGTAATATCCCTTGTTGTTAGCCTTCACAAGAAAAGTGAGCGTATTTATACAAAGTTGAAATTCAGAAACTTGCGACAATAGAGATATTAGTTATGCTCTTTTAACAGAGTAATTAAATACTTTGAACCTCCTAATTTTTTCCCCTACGAATTAGAATTCAGTCATGAAAAACACTACAAAATCAAAAAAATCGGACATGTGCGAGTTACACTCGCACTGAAATCGAAGGTTCCATGCACGAAGCGAACTTATTTCGTTTAAAAATAAATGTTTAAAGAATATAAGTTTTGTATGTCAAATAATATAAGTGATACAAAAAGAAACAATTTTGTAAAAAAATTTAAGAATATTGTTCCTCTTCGTATCACTTATATTATTTGACATAGAAAACTTATATTCTTTAAACATTTGTTTTTTATCAAAATAAGTTAGCTTCGTGTATATAACCCTCGATTTTAGTGCAAGAGTAACTCACACTTGTCCGATATTATTTAAAACTAAAATAAACATTTTCTTAAAAAAAATGTGAAAAGAATATAGAATTCAAAAAAAAGAATAAGAGGAAGAGAAAAAAATTAAAACAAATTAAATAGAACAGAGAAACGAATAAAAAACCTATGAAAAGTCCAATTTTTCAAAAAATTTTCTTTTTCGAAAAAACTTAATTAAAACAACTTCTCACCATGACTGTTAAATTATTTCTATAATCTACACAGAGAAAAAAAGGAGAACCTCTGATTTGGCAGTTGTGAGCTGTTCTAACTCGTCAGGGAGCAGCAGTTTCGCCGAGAAAGGAGAACCGTTTATCTTTTGAGGAGTAACCGTTCACTTTTTGTCATTTCACCTTTAGGCCCGTCGCATAGGTATAGGCATAGGCGAGCGCACACTAGACGATTTTCCATCGACACGACAAAAGTGTCGGCGAAGCAGTCGCTTATGGAAACCAATGTATGAGCGCACACTAGACGACAATTTGTCGGCTGTTTATCTAGGTTTCAGGTAGATTTTCTCTCTACCGGGTTTCATTTACTCTAATTGAACTTACTTATGCTTTTAATAATAAAAAATAATAATTAATTTTATTTTCTTTGAAACATTACAACTTTTAGAAGAAATATTGCCATTAACTCGATAATTAAAAAGTCATGATATTGTCATTAGTGCATTGTCATGCATTGGCATGCACTAGATGAGTTTTCGTCGTCAGTTGTCAAGTTCTTGTGATCAGTTCAGTTGTACTTTAAGTGACAATGTGTGATAATTTAGACAACAATAATCTTATTTCTTTAGTGCAAATGAGACCTGCACTTTAGGATAAAACCACAGACATTTTTAAAGATAGAAATGAAAGAAGAAAAGGTTGGAAAGAAGTGTGTGAGGAATTAAATAGGAATTACCCTACAATGGAATCGAAAGATAAAAACAACCATAGTAAGTATTTTATATTTTAATAATTATTACATTAGAAAATTACTTTAAAAGTCACGTACAAGTATTAAAATTCTAATATTTAGAATGATTTTTTGAAAAAGTTTCCCTTTATAAAACATTATTTGAAAATGAATAACACTAAATGGCTGAAGTTACTGATTAAATGGTAATAGTAACTAATAAAAATTAGCAACAACATTCTTACTAACTAAATGGTACTCTTAACTAACCGTTTCTCTCAGTGTAGGAATTTCAAATTATATTTTGCTCATTTGCCAAGGCACAGATCCTACGTCTGTTAGAAAATAGGTTCCTAATACGTCTCACAGAATTTGCTGAAATACCAGCTCGCGCGGATTGATTGACGATAGAAAATTCTCCATTTATTAGTTAAAATGCCAAAAGTGCATTCAACAAAACGTCGAGCTCTACATAACCTATAATTAAATATTCTTTTCATGGGTGTTAAATGTGATCCCCCATATGGCCTCATTAAATGTTTGTGTAGGTCGAATGCTTCATCTCCAACTAAAAAGTGGGGAATTTTTTGATCTGAAGTGCCAGGCAAACATTTATCTTCTGTCAATTCAATTAAATTAGATTCAATTGCTTTCCAGAGATTTCCTTGCTTAAATATGGAAGAATCGCAATCTTTTCCAAAGCTTCCAATAATCACATTTGTGAAGAGGTATTTAGAGTCCACAACAGCCATTAAAACAATGGAAAAGTACAATTTATAATTAAAATACATTGATCCGCTTTTCAAGGAGCGTACCAAACGAATGTGTTTCTCATCTACAGCTTCAAGGCAATGAGGAAACTTTGCATCTTTTTCAAAATCTTCACTTATTTTTCCCCATCTTTCCTTTGTTAGTTCTGGAATGCATTCATTCTTCATGATTAGCCAAATGGCTGAGCAGACTTTCTTGACTATTTTCCTTGCTGTTAAGACACCAATTTTAAAGTAGTATTGTAAGTCAAGAAATGTACACCCACTTGCAAGATACCTAAAAAAAGTTCTTTTTAAAATATTTTTTACATTAATGTGTTATTTTATTGTTACAGTGAAAGGTGTCATAAGCAGATGGGGTAATCTGCGAGATAGCTTTGCTCGAGCAAAAAAAATATGCAAAGCAGTAAAAGAAGTGGTGCTGGAGTCGCAAGGGTTACCAAGCAATGTACATACCACCAGCAGCTACTATTTTTATCAAAACTGCATGATTCTACAGAAACTACCGACAGTTTAGATGTAGAGAGCAATTCCGAAGACAAAGATATTGAAATCTCGGATTTGGATAAATCATCGGAAAACATGGAAGTAGATTTTTCACCTAGACTGCAAAAAACTGGTAGAAGGAACAGTTACACAAAAAAACCAAAACACCAATGAATTTGAAAAAAACTTGCTGACAGCGCTGTCATCTCATTCAAATCCACATATGGAGTTTTTTCAGAGTTTAGTTGCTCATTTGAACGGATTTGATGACGATGAAATTCATGATTTTAAAATGAGGGTTTTGCAAGTAATGTCAAGCATAAAAGATAAGAAGATGATGGTTTACCAATCAACTTATATTGCTTCACCATTTACCGGATATCAACATAACCCTTTTACCGTCATGCAACCTCCGCCACAAATACAATCATCCCCTATCAGTCGTACATATTCCAATACCAGTCCAAGACATTCTCCTTATCCTCAAAGAGAAGCTACTTCTCATCCTTCTTCATCATACACGTATTATGACAATTTACATAATGTCCCCTCTCCTCAAAATCCCTACTCATTACCCAGTCCTTCATCTGCATCAATGTCCTCAGAGAATTCAAATGATTATTCTACACAAAATTAAATACTTTCTCTCAACATATGACATGAGAAGGGCGTTTTTGTAAGCTCAATTACAAATAATTAAGTAATAAATAAAGAAAATGACTTTAAACATTGTTGTTTTATTTCAGTTAAATTTTAACTATATTTAATACATATTATTGAATTTTAATAGTTATAGATTAAATTCTTTAACTTCTTCTTTATTAAATTCTTTCAAAAACTAACAACGTCATTCAATTCTACGGGAAAAATTACTAAAGAATCATGTTGAAAATTGTTTAAAAAATAATTTCTTTAAACAAATTGTCATAAACAAATTGACAAAATTGAAGAATTTTTAAAAACTAACAACGCCGTTAGATTCTACGTGAAAAATTACTAAAGAATCATGTATGACTATTGACATTAGAAATTATTTAAAACATAATTTGTTTAATCAACTTGTTATAACCATATTTAAAAAATTGATGAATTTTCAAAAACTAACAACGCCATTCAATTCTACGGGAAAAATGACTAAAGAAATCATGTATGACTATTGACGTTAAAATTTGTTTAAAACATAATTTGGTTACACAAATTGTTATAAACAAATTAACAAAATTGATGAATTTTTAAAAACTAACAACTCCATTAGATTCTACGTGAAAAATTGCTAAATATTTTCTACGGGAAAATAAAAATTTTTAAATAATTTTTAGGAAACAAAATATATTTTAAACAAAAAAATTGCAGTAACTAATAGAGAATAAAAAATAAAACTTACCTCAATGTAATACCGAGCATTTCCACTGTTGGATTTTCTGAATGTAGTCACTTTTTCTATTTCGCATGAGATGACGACGAAGTAAAAAATAAGCAGCGATAACTTTATTTCTAATATTCATTTATTTATTCATTCATCTGCTTACCTGCATTTTGGGTCGCTTAGCGACAAGTTGGCCAACAAACATCGTCTAGACGACAATTTGTCAACCGTTGTCCTAGGTTTTAGGTAGATTTTTTCTGTACTGAGATTTATTTTCTTTAACTCAACGTACTTATGCGATTTACTTATAAACTACAACAATTATAGTTTAATATTAATCCTTTTTAAATGGGATTATATTTAAACAATAATATTAATTTATATCAATTAAGTTGATTTTATTAATAAAATAATTTAAAAATTATGGTTATATAAGTAATAATAGACTTAAATTATAGCTATATATATAATGTATGATAATAATAATAGTTATTATTAAATAACTGTCAATTAATTTGGTGATTAATTAATAAATAAAAATTTTGAAAATAAAATTTACTCTCTAAATTTGAATTAGTTAAAAATAACTAATTATTAGTTAAATCGTTGCTCACGATAAGTTATCATATATAACTATTATTTAATTTGTTAATTAATTACTTAATAAATTAAAATTAATATACATAATTGAATGTACAAGCTTAACTACAAGTCGGCCGACACAAATCGGCTAGTGTGCGCTGGGCCTTAGTAAAGCTAACCCGCTTTCCCAAAAAGCGTACTCGTTCACCCTTCGAGAAGCGAACGGCTCACTTTCCCAGCGGTCAAACAGCTGACTCTCATTTAAGAGAACTGCTTTACCGGCGGGTTAAGCGGTTCTCCTTTTTTTTGTCCGTGTAGACATAAAATACGTGAAAATTAATAAATTTCAAGTACTTTAAATACAATTTTCTTTAATATTGGGAGAAAATTCATGATTTTGCTTCCTCGTGGAAGAAGCTTTGTAGTCCTTTCGTTTATAAAACTTTTCAAAGTGGCGGAAAGAAATTTTTTTCTTTATAGAAACATGTTATATGAGATCCTGATCAATTGTCCGGATGTATGCATGTGTGTGTGTATGTGTGTGTGTGTGTGTGTGGATCCCTTTTTTGTTTAGAAGATAACTTTAACAGGTTTTAATGGATTTAGATAAAATTTAGTAGGCTCATTTATCATATTAATATCTCAAATCTGATCAAAGGATTTTAAAAAATACTCAAAAAAAAAAATTTTATGGTCTTTTTTCCAAAAATTTTTTTTTAATCGAAAAAATTTTTAAATAGAAAAATTTAAGGTTATATAAAATAAAATCGTATTCTTTACGTCAAGACGAATCGATCGATATATATATATATATATATATATAAAGTATTCATTTGAGGTAAATTTAAAGAATTAATGAAAGTTAAAAATCAAAAATTCACATTTTGGTTATAAAATTTTGTGATTTTTTAAATTGAAGTTTATATATGAAATAATTGTATTCCTTACGTCAAGACGAATCGATCGATATATAAAGTATACATTTGAGGTAAATTTAAAGAATTAATGAAAGTTAAAAAATCAAAAATTCACATTTTGTCAATAAAATTTTGCTTTCTCCACGAGGAAGCAAATTTTTTTGCTGATCGTAAAGAGGAAGCAAAATGTTCATATAATGAACATCTGAATTTACAACTTGTTCCCTAAAAACAGAGGTACCCGGGTTCCTTATCCGCCTTTTAAGGGTGAAGAAATTTTGTTTATTATTTCTGAATACATAAACAAAAAGGTACATTATAAATAATATTAAAACTCTTTGTATGGATAAATTTGAGATGTCAAAAAGCCTTAGGTCGATACGATTTTAAAAGTTATGAATGTTGCACATGTTAATTTTGGGTGTCAGTCGGGATAAATTTTATTACTCCGTTGAGAAACTGCTATAGAGTTTCTTTCGTCCGATAGCATGAAATTGATACCAAGATAACCACAGAACGTACAGCAGCTTGTGAAAGCGCTTGACTGTGACTGTGTTAAAATTGAGTACCATTTGTCTTTAATTATTAAAATTTCGACATGCCTTAAATAAGAAGATTAAAAGAAATTGATTTTTTCTTGTTTGCTACTCTGGACCACATATTGTTGAGTCATTGCAATATTCCACCTAGATTGCAAGTGTTCCCAAACCGGGGAATAATTAGTAATGTGGCAAATGTTGCAGGTGCCAGTAGGAACATTGTGGCCAGGCTTTCAACCAATGATACCTTGCGGCAATGTTCCTAATAAAAAGAACATATATATATATGACGATTGACTACTCTGCAAATGTTATAAATGCATGAATAATATTGAGTCGACATTTTTATTTTGTATGGATTTACATGCAATTTGAATTAAATTACATTATGGCTAGTACTGTTAAATTTAAGATTCATCTTAAAATGGAATTTAATTTTTTACTGTGTGGTTAACAATGTCGATTGAGAATGTGGGAATTAGAAGTGAGAAGTAAGGAGTGGGAAGTGAGAAGTGGGAAGTAAGAAGTAGGAAGTGGGAAAGTTACGGAATCGACCCCAAGGACTAGTGGCATGTTGCAAAATTTTCAATTAACGCAGTACAACTTTCCTCGATCATTAAGCAACTCTTCTCCTGGTTCTGAACTGGCAGAAGAGGTCCTTGAGTTCGGAAAAGCCGCGACTTAGCCCGTCCTGCGCGTCGACAAAGTGAGGAGAAAATTTTCTTTCTTCTACTTTGTTGAACTAGCTATTTTAATTATGTGGTGAAGAATACTGGTAGACGAGGATCCGCGACTCGCTCGCTGGAAGGCACGGCTCCGAAAATTCATCCTTATTGGCATTTAAACCTGTTTGCAACAAGAATTGGAACGATTTTTCATGTTTCGGGGTTTTCTGTCATTGTGAAAAATCGCAATGTAGAAAATCTCCGATAAAGGGGAAAAAGATCACGAAGAAAGAGTAGAGCTAGGAAGACAAAAGACTTGTAAAATCCCAGCCCTCAAAATCAATCTGTTCTGATAACGAAAGTAACATCTATTAAAAGGGACGAGAATTTCGCGAAACATTTCATTCCAGACTAAAAAAGTGCAGTAAAGCGTATAAAGACGACGTGCAACGAATAAACGAACGCACATTTCTTTGTAACATATAACCCGAAGTATCCGCTTCTAAACGTAGATCTAGTAAGCCAAAAGGAATTAAAAAAACTCTCATTGACCCTTGTAAGATCCAACTACTTGACTATAATTTAGAAATTCCTATCAGCCCTTCCACAAAGCAAAATTACATTTGACAATCAACACTCACGCAGGACTGTTCCATTCTGGGATACCTGTCGGAAGATTGCATAAACAACGAGTACGCATAAATTTTAGGCGTCGTGTATCTTACTGTCAACGAGACCGATATTTGCTTCCATGTTGTATAATCCTATTTCTCTCAGAATTGTTGCGTAGCACCAGGAATCTTGGGGATAAAAAGTACTGTTGAATTGGTGATTCCTGTCCTCTGTTAAAATAACTATAAAATTGTTGCAAGAACGAATTCCTTTTGCGGGTTAATTTAACTCACGAGGTTTAATACAAGAAGACGATTTAATGATAATAATAAATTAGTCACTTTCAATCGTTGTTGATTAAAAATGCATTTTTATCTAACGCAAGACGAGCTGAAAATACTACCGTTGCATCTTATAGAGTAAGCCGATATCATAACACCGACAATTAAGGATAGTCTTCCCTCACAACAAAAGGATATCCTGATGATATCCTCAGGATATCCTAAACTAATGTACGATATCCTGAAAACATCCATAGGATATCCTCAGAAAATCCAAACCGCCGTTACGTAGGATATTTTTGGGATTTCCTGGGGATATTTTAGGGATATCCCTGGGATATTCTTGGGATAAACTTGGTATATCGTTAAAATATTCTAGAAATATCGCTAAGATCTCCCTAGAGTATCATTATGATTCAAATTTTGACTATTTGAGATAGCAATTTTTTGATACAAATAGGTTTCCCGTGATTGTCAATCATCTTTCAAATCTGGGCCTTAAAGTTGATAATTAGAGCATATATGGGACTGACCGAATGAAAAATTTTTGTTCTAACACACGCACCGAAAGTACACCATTTCTTACCTGTGTAGCGGGAGAAAAGTATGTCTTTTCCGACGAGCGGGAGGGAAAGTTACTTTCCCTCCCGGTGATGTTGTTATTAGGTATTACATATTAATCAAACTACGAACAGTAGTGAGTCTCAAACGTCTTTTACACCACAAGTAGTAACTATACTACTACCAGACACAATCATACCATCA